TTTTTTTTTTGCATCAGATTATTACTCTGTTGCCCAGACTAGAGTACAGTGGCACACTCACAGCCGCCGCAGCCTCGACCTCTGGGCTCAGGTGATCCTTCTGCCTCAGGCTTCCAAGTAACTAGATCTACAGACATGTGCCCCCATGCGCAGCTAGTTTTTTGATTTATTGTAGAGACAGGTCTTGCCAAGTTGCCCAGGCTGGTCTCAAACCCCTGGACTCAGGCAATCCTCTCACCTCAGCCTCCCAAAATGCTGGGATTACAGGTTTGAGCCACCATGCCTGGCCCAATTTCCCTTTTTTATCTAAAACTTTTAGAGTGAGGAAGGTATTATATTAGAAAGTAGAAATGCTGCACTAATTTTTATTCATAATGTAATATATTTATGCATTGTAACATATATCCATATTTAATACTAGAGTACACTACCTTTAAACCAAAGGATTTTAAAATTTGAATACTTTTTTCTTTCCTTTTTTTCCTTCTCTTTTTATAAAAACAATTGGAAATCACCTTTTCCAAGGGGAATTCATTAAAAGATTCAGTCCCCATTTACTGATTTTTTTTCCTCTTCCCCACTTGCCAGCCCAAGTCACTGGATATACTTTAAACTTAGCTCTTTCCTATTTTCTCCCACCCTGGAGAGTGTTCTTAAAAGCCAACACTTTTAACACATTAATGAGTTTTGGGAAGAGCATAGTGGCTCATGCCTGTAATCCCAGCACTTCTGGAGATTGAGGCAGGAGGATTGCCTGAGCCCAGGAGTTTGAGACCAGCCTAGACAACATAGCAAGACCTTGTCTCTACAAAAAAATTTTAAAAATAAAAAATTAGCCAGGCATGATAGTCCTAGCCACTTGGAAAGCTGAGGCAGAAGGATCGACACACCTAAGGCCAGTAGGTCGAGGCTATGGTGAGTTGTGATCATGCCACTGCATTCCAGCCTGAGCGACAGAGACCATGACAACCCCCCATAAAAGAAAAGGTGTTTTGGCTTGTATTTATATTTTTTTCCTTCCTGAAAGTCTGGAGACTCATGACTTCACATAAGCTGTCATTAGAAACCAGTTAAAAGAAAAGTGCGACTGAATCTAAAAGACTACACACTCAGCTGCCAGTTTGCTCTGCAGGTTGGCCAGCGCCACTTCTCTCATGTGTCCATACCACCAAGTAAGCCTCACTGAAATGCAGTGGACTTGCACAATGGTGGTGTTGTTGGTTGGTGTTAAGATACAGACTTTCCATGGTAATGTAAATGCTGAAAGCAGGGACCTTCTTCAGATTAGGGGTAAGGGGCCCTCTTCAGATTAGGGTTGTCTTTCTCTGTAGCTTTCACCCA